ACTTCACTCTATATGACAGACTCTAGGTCCATCCACCTCACTACAAATAACTCAATTTCATTTCTTTTTATGACTGAGTAATATTCCATTGTATATATGTTCCACATCTTCTTTATCCATTCATCCGATTGATGGACACTTAGGTTGCTTCCATGTCCTGGCTATTGTAAATAGAGCTGCAGTGAACGTTGTGGTACATGACTCTTTTTGAATTATGGTTTTCTCAGGGTATATGCCCAGTAGTGGAATTGCTGGGTTGTATGGTAGTTCTTTTTTAGTTTTTTAAGGAACCTCCATACTGTTCTCCATAGTGGCTGTATCAATTTACATTCCCACTAACAGTGCAAGAGGGTTCCCTTTTCTCCACACCCTCTCCAGCATTTATTGTTTGTAGATTTTTTGATGATGGCCATTCTGACCAGTGTGAGATGACAGCTCATTGTAGTTTTGATTTGCATTTCTCTAATGATTACAGATGTTGAGCATTCTTTCATGTGTTTGTTGGCAATCTGTATATCTTCTTTGGAGAAATGTCTATTTAGGTCTTCTGCCCATTTTTTGATTGTGTTTTTTTTTTCCTTGATATTGAACATTTATTTATTTATTTTTGGCCACGTGGCTTGTGGGATCTTAGTTCCCTGACCGTGAATTGAACCTGCGCCCCCTGCAGTGGAAGCGTGAAGTTCTAACCACTGGACTGCCAGGGGAGTCCCTGTTAAGAATTTTTGCATATATATTCATGAGGGATATTGTTGTGTGTGTGTGTGTTGTTTGTGTATATACACACATATACACACGTATATGTGCATGTATATATGTGTATATATATATATATTTTTTACTATGTACATATATATGTATATTTTACAATCTTTCCAGGTTTTGTTATCAATGTAATAATAGCTTCATAAGTGATTTAGAAAGTGTTCTCTTCTGTTTTCTGGAAGAGATTGTGTAGCATGGTGTTAACTCTTCGTTACATGTTTGGTAGAATTCTTCAGTGAAACTATCTGGGCCTTGAGATTGTTTTCAGTTCCTTAATAATTGTAGGATTTGAATTCAGTTTCCTTAATAATTGTAGGATTTTTCAAATGATGTATTTCGTAGAGGGTGAGTTGTGGCAGTTTGTGTTTTTTGAGGAATTGGTCCATTTTGTCTACGTTTTCAATTTTATGTGTGTAGAATTATTCACAGCATTCTCTTATTATCCTTTTGATGTCTGCAGGGGCTATAGTGATATCTCCTGTTTCAATCCTAATATTGGTAATTTGTGTCTTCTCTCACTTTTACTCTGTCAGTCTTGCTAAAAGTTAGTCAATTTTATTGATCCTTTAAAAGAACCGGGTGTTTGTTTCATTTATTTTTTTCTATTGTTTTTATTTCATTAATTTCTGCTCTTTATTATCTCCTTCCTCTGCTTGCATTGTGACTAATTTGTTCTTCTAGCTCTCGAGGTGGAAAGTTAAATTAATGATTTGAGATTTTTTCCTCTTCCCTTTCATAAATGTATGCATTTATTGTTATAAATTTCTCTCTCTGAAATGCTTCAGCTGTGTTCCAGAAAGTTTTATAATTTTGTGCTTCATTTTCACTCAATTCAATGTATTTTAAAAAATGTTCCTCTTTGACCCATTTATTATGTAGAAGTATGTTATTTCATTTCCAAGAATTTAGAGAGCTTTCTGTTATCTTTTTATTATTGATTGCTAGTTTGATTCCACTGTGGTCAGAGAAAACTCTTTGTATGATTTGTTGAGGACTTTTTTATGGCCCAGGATGTGGTTTTTCATGGTATATATTCTTTGGGAACTTGAGAAGAATGTGTATTCTACTGTTGTTGGATGGAGTATTCTATAAATGTTAATTAGATATTATTGGTTGATGGTGTTGTTGAGTTCTCTATCCTTGATTTTCTGTCTACTTCCATCCGTTGTTGAGAGAGGGGTGTGGAAGTCTCCACCTACCTGTGTATTTGTCTAGACAACTTCTCCTTTTAGTACTGTCAGGTTTTTTTTGTTTTTGTTTTTTGCAGCTGTATTTGGTATATACACATTCAGAATTGCTATGTCTTCTCGGTGGACTTCCTCTTTTATCATTATATAATGTCCTTGTCTGTCTCTGGTGATTTTCTTTACAATGAGGTCCACTTTATCTGACACTAATATGGTCACAGCTGCTTTCTTTTGATTTGTATTTCTGTGATATATCATTTTCTGTCCTTTACTTTCAACCTGCTGATACTGTTGTATTTGAAATTAGTTTCTTATGGCTGCATTCAGTTGAGTAATATTCTTTAATCCACTCTGCCAGTCCCTGTCTTTTAATTGATGTAGTTAGATTTTTAACTTTAATGTAACTGTTGATATTTAGGGTCTTAAATCTGCCATTTAATTTTTTGTTTTCTGCTTTTTTTCCCATGAAATATTTTGTCTTCACATCTATGAGGTATTAGTGATCATATTTTTTAACTAATTGCGAAGTTAGTGAATAAAAAATTCGGTGAATGAAATTCACTGAATTCATATTAAATATTCCTGACATCAGTTCATGCAGTGAGCTATCCATTCATCCATCCTTTTAAGAGACATTTACTAAACCTCTACTTTGGGCCAGTCATTGTCATATGAAACATTATTTTTTCAGATATTTCTCTTCTCTTTTAGTTCTTTAGTAGTGTATTTGTTTCCTGTGATGCTGCAGTAAATTACCACAAACTGGATGGCTTAAAACAACAGAAATGTATCCTGTCACAGTTCTGGAAGTCAAAAGTCTGAAATCAGTACCCACTGAGTCGAAATCAAGGCATCAGCAGGGCTCTAGGGGAGAATCTGTTTGTCTCTTTCAGCTTCTGGTGGTTGTCAGCATTCTCTGGCTGTGGCAGCATCACTCCAGTCTCTGCTTTGTGGTCAAATTGCCTCCTGTTCTGTCTTTTCCCCCGAATGTCTCTTTTAAGGGCACTTGTTATTGGGTTTATAGCCTACTGGGATAATCCATGATGATCTCTTTATCTCAAGATCCTTTTTTAAAAAAATTTTATTATTTTTTTATACAGCAGGTTCTTATTAGTCATCCATTTTATACATATTAGCGTACACATATCAATCCCAATCTCCCAATTCATCACACCACCACCCCACCCCCCTGCCGCTTTCCCCCCTTGGTGTCCATACATTTGTTCTCTACATCTGTGTCTCTATTTCTGCCTTGCAAACTGGTTCATCTGTACCATTTTTCTAGGTTCCACATATATGCGTTAATATACGATATTTGTTTTTCTCTTTCTGACTTCCTTCACTCTGTATGACAGTCTCTAGGTCCATCTACACCTCTACAAATGACCCAATTTTGTTACTTTTAATGGCTGAGTAATATTCCATTGTATATATGTGCCACATCTTCTTTATCCATTCATCTGTCGATGGGCATTTTAGGTTGCTTCCATGTCCTGGCTATTGTAAATAGTGCTGCAGCGAACATTGGGGTGCATGTGTCTTTTTGAATTGTGGTTTTCTCTGGGTATGTGCCCAGTATCAATTTACATTCCCACTAACAGTGCAAGAGGGTTCCCTTTTCTCCACACCCTCTCCAGCATTTACTGTGTGTAGATGTTCTGATGATGTCCGTTCTAACAGTGTGAGGTGATGCCTCATTCTAGTTTTGATTTACATTTCTCTTTAAGATCCTTTTTCAAATTAAGATAACATTCACAATTTCCAGGATTAGGGTGTAGCCATTTTTTTGGGGGGGGGCCACCATTCAATCCACTACAAGTAGTACCTTATATGCAGTTTTAATTTCCCTCTTTTGATCTTCTCCTCACCTTGGCATGGGTCTCCTGTTTCCCTCCCTTCTCTTTTCCTTCTTGATTTTGTCTTTTAAAGTATTCACTTAGAGAGCGATGAGAATAGTGGAATGATTGTGCTGACCTGTATTTCACAGCCTACCATACTGCAGCAGGGAAAAAGCCTTTTTTCACAGCAGGGCAGCTTCATTTAATCAGAACATGCTGCTTATTAACAGAACTTATAAAACTCTGAAGCAGGTAAATATAATACTTTAAAAATCCTTTAAAAAACCATGTTAAGGTCTTATATACCTATAATAAATAATTCCATTTGAAGAGTTAAGTAAAAATAATTTTAGTTAAGGTAAATAAATATTACGGCATCAGTAATTAACATTTAAATTGGTATCAGTTAAGGGTAGGTGGAATTCCCCTCTGAGGTGGTGCCACATTTACTAGCATCTTTTATATATATTTCAAGTACTTGCACCACTTACGTTGGTTAGCTTATGTTTTAAAAACAAATAATTTGTTTGCATGGAAGTGGTTTTTTGGAAGAATCAGAACACTTTTTCTGAGGTATTTAGGCCACTAGAGTATCACAGATTATTTTGGTAAAACCTTAGTGACCTAATGAATATTCTGTCAAAAAGGGACCATATAAATATACCCTACTGACTTTTAAGAATATAGACTATATCATTAAGTTTCTGGCAACTCAATCTAGTGCAATAGGTAGTTTCATTGTCCTAGAAGAAAGTTGTGTGATTCTGCTGTAGTTGATTTTGTTGCGGTCCCTGCTGTTGTTATGATTATTAATATTTTACCATAATGAAACTTATCATTTATATTTTTATAAAGTATAGCAAACTGGCAGGTCACAGGAAAAAATAAGGTAGAATTTTAAAGTAACTAATAATGGTCTCAAAATCTTTAGACTTCGGCAAGATGTGTGTGTAGATAGAGAATCTTGTTTTAGCATAAGCATAATTAATATCTTCATGCCTTTGTTATAAGATTGACTTAAAAAGCCAGAAATTTCAGTTCTGGCTTTATTTGTATATCTAGGTGATGTGTTTAAAGTTTAAAACTGTCAGAAGTCTGAGTGTTCGTTATTAAAAAGCAGTTGTTTTGAAGTTAATCCCTGCTTTTTGTAATGTAAATTATAATTACAAATTTATAGTTACAAATTTTAAATTTGTGTTTTCTTTGTAAGTGCTGGTCAAGATATCCAGGGAACAAGCGTGATTGCAAATCTTCCATTTCTGATGCGACAGAACCCTGCTGAGACACTTCGGAGAATCTTGCCAAAAGTCAGAGTAAGTTGCTGTGAAATAAGATTTGAATTCACCGTTTTTTTCCCAGTAGTACGTTGTCATTGTCAGGAGAAATTTTCAGAGCTTTTGATGGCTGATCTTTTGTACCTAATCCTTGAGTGGAGGAAGTATTATGATAAACATTTTGAATTATGTTGAAAATATTTAAGGAAATTAGCTGATGGAAATGGAGAAATCTAGATCTTAAACTGTAAAGATTTCGTTAATCATTTTCTCAGTAGAGACATTATAATGTTTTCAGTAGCTCAAAAAAAATCTTAGTCTTATAAAATCATAGCTATCTTATTTGGTATTCTGTTGACTTAAATACATATTAATAGTATTTCTAGAACATTTATAATATAGTTTAACTGATAGTCCTAATAATCACCGTGGTGCCTGCTAAAGATTGAATTGTGGCCATTGCAGTTTTAGTTTTATATTTAATTGCTTCCTAAATTCCTTCAGAATTAGTTTTCCTGCCATAAACAAAATATTTGATCTACTAGAACTTTCTTTTCTCTGACTATTTAATATTTACTCATTATTAATATATAATATTAAATACATGCTATTTATTATTTATTTGTACCATATGCAAAGTGCTGTTCTTTATTAGAACTTGAATGAACAGAACAGATGATGTCTTTGTGTCTTCAGGGAGCTTACAATACTAATGGGGTCAGGGAGGTTACCTACTAACGGGGATTCTGTTTGCTAATAGTGAGTTTTGTAGACTTTGCTTTGGCTTTCTGTTTGTTTTAACTTTTTTATAATTTTTAAATTAATTTATATGTGTTTAAAATACTGTAATTATTAGTGTGTCCTTGGGTTTTATTTTTAGGCATATATGGCATGTTTCCAGTGACGTAGATCAGGGATATACCACGTTATTTTTATAAGATGTCCACATTTCTATGCAGGCGATATGGATTTTTTTTTTTTTTTTTTTTACTGATTACAGTGGTGAATTGAGAAGATGTTTATTTTAGTATCACGTGTGATTCAAAAGTGAATGAAGCGTTTTCATTTCTGTTTTTCCCAAATCATTCCATAATTTCAATGGAATTAAGTCTACACAGTCTAGGTTTAATTTCACATTCAACTGAAGGGATATTAACTGACCTAAGCTTGTTAGCATGTCACCTGGGAGTACCAGTTAAACAGTAGTAGAAGGGAACAGGTGGTTAGGTCGTCTTAACTAAGGAGTTATTGTACATAAGCAAATGAAATTTAAAGCTAAAAATACTGAGCACGGTGTACACTCTGTGTTGAGCAGGCTAAATCCAGACCCCAGGCCGCGTACTGCAAGTTAAAAGTTTCATAGAGCAAGAGTAAAAGATGAAGGGTAGACAGTAGGGAGCTTTAGGTGGTCTCTAACTTATTTTGAAAAAAATCCTTTGCTAATGAGTTCACAATAAAGTTAACTAAATAATAACTCCTGAGAAATCTTGATCTCATGGGAATGTATAAAGGATATTATATACTCACATATAGAGCATATTTATACAAAGAACCAAATGTCTCTGCAGAAACTATATAACTGAGTTAGAGAGGGCAAGATTTTATTAAGCTTTTAAAGTTATTAAGTTTAATTCATAATGCAGAAGATTAACTGAAGAAAGGGATGTAAAGAAAATGTATACTAATGAATACATACTAAGAAAATCTTAGTAGCAGCTATTTATGTAGGTTTCTCATTTATTTTGCCCTGTACTAAAAAAGGTAGAAAACAGCCCCAGATTAGATTCTATGTCAGGAAGACATAAAGACTATGGAAAACAATTAAAGAACAAGCATAGGAGAGTATTTAATTGTGTGATTCTGATTTATGTAAAAATGCTGAAGAATTAAGCAAATGGGAAACACTTCTTTATGGGGGCAATAATAATGACTTTTATAGAGGGTTTAATACAAAATGTAGGCAGCTAAACATTTAAGCAATCCCACATCAAATTCTAAAACCTATGAGCAAATCATTTAAAATCATAGTATTCAGATACTATTAAGACTTGTTGGTACTCACAGAACCTTCTTTTATTCTGCCTTGCTTCTGTGAGTGGTTACTTCCAACTGATAAAGGTATGACAAAAATTGCACATAGCCACTTTATTCACTCTTGCCATGGCCATAATTCCTTAGCTAATTTTATAAAAAAAGCAATCTTGTGTCTCAAAATGAGCATTTAGTGATAACGGCCTTCTCATTCATTCATTCATAAAAATTTACTGAGTACCTCCCGTGTGCCAGGTTCTAAGCACTGAGAAAACAGAGGTGAACAAAACAGAGAACTCACCCCCAAGGACGTTTCCAGAGGGGGAAACAGACATTAAACAAGTGAGTGAGTGTAAAGAACAGGATCAAGTAAGGGGGCCATTGGGGGAGTTGGGAAAGTGGGAGGACACTGACTATGCTTTGGGAGGTTAAGGACAAGGACACATCTTTGAGGAACTGAAAACTGAAGGGATAGGAGGAAACAGCCATTTGAGTAGTCAGGAATGAGTGGTCCAGGCAGAGAGAGCAGGAAGAGTTTGGTGGAACTGCGAGAGGTAAGCGTGGTTGGAGTCCAGTGGGTGGGGGTGGGTTGTGAATTGAAGAGAGGACAGTGACGGAGCATATGCAAGTGTTGCTCTTTCCTAGGACAGTGGAGAGCCACTGAAGACTTTAAGCAGGGAGGTGACTTATCTCACGGACATGCTACAATGATCATTTGCTAATTGTGTGGAGGGTGGATTGGAGCAGGAGTTGGGAAGCTGCAGCATGAGGGCGGCTAATGAGGACAATAGAGTGGTGGATACATCCAAGATGCATTTATTGGGAGAGAATGGACTACATAATGGATCAGATGTGGAAAGCGAGGGATGACTTCCAGATTATTTCTGGTTTGAGCTTCCGTATGGTTCTGCTGGTTTTGAGTGTCTTGGTTGATAATTTATTAAATCGATGGGGAAAAATAGTTTGAATACGCTCCAGTGCTAACCTTCAGTGAATGGTTTATTTTTAGAGACTTTAAAGACATGAATAATAATTATTTTATGTAAGAAGTTAATCATTGCCCAGATTCTTTTCATATTTATAACAGTAGTATAAGCCGCTTTTAGAACTCCTGCTGTACCTTCTCTTTACCTTAAAGAACATCAGATAAAGTGATGGAGATATTTCTGGGCTTATGTATTATAAAAATTCACCAAACAAGATGTTTTTGATTCTGTTTCTGTGGGGTTTTTTTATTTGTATTTTATATTTACAATAATGAATTGACTGAAAAATGGTTTAAAAAATAGGTTGCTATTTTCACTGTTTTAGAGATGAAGGAATTTAAGGTTAAAAATAAAGTGGCAGAAAGAGAGGCAGGATTAGAACTGAGCTAACCCACAGTATTTCTTCAGTTTACTTTCTAAGTTATATCTAAGTGGATGACAAAGGATAGTGCAGTTAGATCACTCATCTCAAGGTTAATTTAAATAAGAGTCCAGAAAGGAAATATTTTGACCTCCAATTTAAATTCTCTATCTAATTCTAGATATGAGCCACTTCTGAATATACAGTTGACTCTTGAACAGCGCAGGTTTGAACTGGTTGGGCCCATCTGTGCTTGGACTTTTTCAATACACATGTACCATTGTACTACACGATCAGAAGTTGGTTAAATCTGTGGTTACGGAACCTGGGATATGGAGGGAGGGCCGACTGTAAAGTTATATGTTGATTTCCCACTGCGTGGTGGGTTGACTCCCCTAAACTGCATTGTTCAAGGAACAACTGTAGTAGTTATATCTATTTTATATGATTTAATCCTAGGGTATCTTTTGAAAAAGAAAACAGGTTTTTTCTGTGGTCTTTATTGATTAAGTTTGAATTCTTTCCACAGTATATTAAGTTGAATTAATATTGGACGTTAGATTTGACTTGAACTTCTGGTTGTCTAGAAATGAAAGAATTTGTTTTGTCAGGATAAATTTCTAAAATACTGTCGTCCTTTATAAAATGTGAAATAGTAATGATATAATTAACCATGTAATATCAGTGACTCCTTTATAAATGAAGTGCAAAAAAAAAGTCTCTACCTGTTGAGTTATTGAATGCTGTTATTGTTTTTTCACTTATTTTGGGAACCAAAATAAGGCGTAAAATTGTCTATTAAAAAATGTGCAACGTCAGGAAGAGATAAAAATAACTGTAGGTCATTTACTGAGGTCTTACAATGTGTCAGGCACTGTACTCTGTCAAACATTTTACACATTTTTATCTCTCTGAATGCTCATGGCAGTTCTGTAAGGGTCACTTGATTGAGGAAGAAGCAGCTTAGGTGAGTAACTTGCCCAAAGTCACAGTGCTAGCAAGTGGTATAATTAGGTTTGAATAGGGAGTCTGACTCCTGGGTCCTCTCTCTTAACTGCTATACAACCTCTTCATTAGCTCATCGTGACTGCAACAAATATGTAATATATAATTTTAGTTCCTCAGCCTGAGTCATCTCTCTTGTGGTTATTGCAAGAGGCCTCCTTACTGGACCTGTTGCTTCCCCTTTGCTCCCTGGAGCCCATTCAGCCAGAGAGATCGTTCATTTATTTATTTATTTAGCATCAATTTACGCATTACTGAGATGAATAAAATTGTATATATTTAAAGCGTACAGTGTGATGATTTAATATATGTATACATCATGAAATGCTTACCCCAATCAAATTAATTAATACCTCCATCATCTCACATAGTTAATTTTTTTCTTCAGTGAGATCTCTTAAAGATCTTTCAGAGAGATCAGTCATATCTTTTCTTCTTGAATGAAAACTACTAAAATGGTGTGGTAGGCAGAACAGTGGCCTCCCAAAGATATCAGGTCCTAATCCCTGGAACCTGTAAATGTTACCTTATTTAGAAAAAGAGGTTTTGTAGATGTGGTTAAGGATCTTGAGACAGGGAGATTATCCTGGATTATCTGGGTGGGCCCTAAATGCCATCAGATGTATCCCTATAAGAGGAAAGCTGAGGGAGATTTG